ATTTTGTCATTTTATTATATCAAAACTTTATTACAAAGTTGATCTGAAGTATATATTATTATAAATTTCGTACATGTTGAGTAACAATGTAGAATATCTATTCAATTGAAAGTTTAGCACTTTCGATGTGCACTTCGTAATATTTGACACAAGATATTTTAAACCACTTTGTCTCTTCACTTGAATTTTCTCGTATGTCAGGGGAATTTAACAACTTATATATAACTAAAAGAAAAAATTGCTATATTTGTACGATATAATTTTATACGAAGGAGATTTACTTGAGTCCCTATTCTTCAACCATGCTCTGCCACTAAGGATATTCGTGCATCGCACGAACGTAGAGACTAGTACTATATTAAAAGCACAAAGGCCCTTAGCGAATTGTCGTTCGCCATTTTTATCCTTTAAAAATGATTTTACATTAGACAAATTTGTACTTTATAATTTTTCTAATATTTAGGACTTTAAAATCGACTAAAATATTAGTTATTAATTCTTTCCTTGTTTGAATTATATATGATTTCCTAAAATTTAGAAATTTAAATTGGGTAATATTCTACTTATATATACTTTCCTTATTACAATTGCGTAAACTACAACAAAATGATCCTTTGTAATCTTTCAAATTAAAAAAGACAATTTCTTTTCCCCGTGATCCTCGAACCGATTATAATTCTTAGTTCCATTACGTTTAGATTTCTTTATTTAATATCTTTTCATCTTATGCTTTCTCCAAAGTACTACAAGATTGCTCCTTAATCCGTTTAGTATTTTTATTTTTAATTATAATCTAATTCTTTATTTTTAAATCTATTCTTCAAAATTTAAACAAAAAATGAATAATCACTATAACTTAAATAAGATTAACAAAAGATGGTGGAAATTTGTACATAAGATTGCAAACAAAGATTCATTATATAACAAATTCCTAAAAGATTATATTCCATATTTATTTATACTAAAATAAATAAAGTTGGAAGACATGTAAGTTTAATAATATAGATTTAAACGAATTGAATACTTTTATGAGAAGTTTTTTTCTTTATTGAGTTCGTTATATATGATCAATAATCATCATTTTTAAAAACTTACACTTTTTCTTAACTTTTGTTTTGTAACTCAAATACACTTGTAATATAAATATTTATGTATTTTTCTTAAGATTTATATTTACTCAGACGAGAATATACGCGCAAAGCGCGTACTCTAAGACTAGTATATATATATATATATATATATATATATATATATATGAATTCAATTTAATTCTTTTGTTTAGAAATCCAAAAGTCACAACTTTCCATTCAATTCAATTTAACCGTTCTAATTTATTCAATTCAAATCAACCATTGCAACTAACTAGGAATGTAAAATATTTCTCTAATTTTAAAAAATCAACATCCATAACTCACACCTCATCCTTAGGGTTGTGACTTTTCAACTCTATAACCTCCAAATAATTAATGTGTCCCATTAAATTGCATATTTACATGCTCAGACTATTTTTACTTTCTACCGGTGATCCAATCAAGTCCACAAGAAGAGCAAAATATGATGAAGATTTTGATCACAAAGTCATGGATTATTTCTCAAATTTTTCTTCTTTTACCTTTTTTTCATAAATCATTGATTTGATATGTTCAGCATAAAAATATGTTTCATTTAATTATTTTATTGTGGCCGAACAACTTGTGCTTGTATTACTGCATTGAGTTTCAATAGTGAGGCGTATAGTTGGCTGGCTGCAAAGATTAATTTCAAGGAACACTCATGCTCCAACAGAAACGTTTCCGACTTTTACAATATATCAAGACCATCAACCATAGTGTTAATCAAGGTATGATTACTTAAACTATGAGAATATTTTTTTTATTGTGTTTTATCCCGTTTATTTTGTTTTATCCCGTTAATTTTTGTGAAAGAAGAATTCCAAGGAACTAACACGAGCTTGGAACTGTCGGGAGTTTCTCACGATCCACGGTAATCTAATTTACTCAAATAGCTTAATGATCTCAAAATTAAAACTTTTCAACATATAATAACTTGGCATAATCATATTTTTGGTTTGTGCTTGGAATAGGGAAAATGGAAAGAACCGGCACTTACAAGGCAGATATAAAATTATAAATGAAATATTATATGTAACAACGAACAAAGTATGCAGGAAATCAAAATCTTTCTGAAAGATGAAGAAGGAAGCATCAGAATTCGCACACGAAGAGAGAAAGGTACGAGAGAGATGGTATTAAAATTTGTGGAGAGGAGAAGTAATGTGATTTGAAAATTGAGTTATTTTAAGGCACGAAGAATTGAAAAGAAAAACAATTGAAAAGGCAAGAAAAGAAGAATAATGAAAAAGATCATACAAGGAAAAATAATACTACTTTGGTAGAAAAGAAATAAGAAATGATATGGACAGAGAGAGCAACTTGCGTTGCCATTTATTTATTTGTTTTTTGTTTCTCTTTCTGTTTGTAGTTTCCTTACTTTTTAATTTTTCCTGATATTTTCTTTTCATTTTATCGTTTCATTTATTTGACTAGAAGAAAATTCTATAATTTAAAAAGTTTTACTATCTAATAAACAAAACTATCAGGTGCTTATAAACATGTATTTCTAATATATAATTTGATTAAGAGAATCATGCATACACACAAGACACGTAATTTATGTGTGTATATATACATGTGTGTGAAAAGTTTTCCAACTATCTCTTTTTCCTTTTCCTTTATTTAAAAAAATGATAAAATGAGGTTTATCTAATCTCTTATTCTAAGAGAAAAATCATGTTTGTGATTTCAACTATATATAAATTAATTTCATATACACATACAAGATAAGTATTAATTTTTCTATCATGACTGAAAATATAAAAATATTTTTTCTAAACTATTGTCTTTGATAATCGCGCGAAACGCGAACAAATTTACTAATTGATGGAGAGTTAATATTCACTTTTCGAAGGCAGGAAAAGAGGACATTTTATAATGTTATAACGCCAACACTACTACAGAAATATGGTTAACAATCATTTATGATAAGGTTAACATTAGCCATCATTACTGCAAGGCTATTGAATAGCAATCATTAATCATTATTGTAAGGAAATTAGGTGTCTAGCTAAAGGGAGTCCGGAACCGAAATATTATTTTTTTGGACTCAAAATAATTCCTAGGTACTAATCCATGTTCAATGACGCAAACCCGGTGCATTTAAGATCTGAACTTGTCGTGTTTGCAATTTAAGTTTAGAAAGTAACTAACAGAAAATGAAAGGAAAGGTGGGTAATGTTACACTAAACCCGAGTGGGACCCAAGCATTAAATGTGAGGAAAGCTGAAAGTCCGCGTTTTTGTAAAACGTGATTTTTAACCGCGTTTTTGTAAAATGCTGTTTTGAACTGTATTTTACCTTAACGTCCCAAACGGCCGTTAACGTAATATTTTGGTGACTAAGTTTGTTTTCCACCTAAAAATGTATTTTGAATCAAAAAAGACAATATTTCGATTCCGAACTCTAGCTAAAGGCTACTTTCGTGCATGAAGCCATTTCATTGCATGCAAGAAACAATGATCGCATGCAAAAGGCACTTGATCATATACTTGTACAATGAATGTCACTTGGCTACGGAATAAACAAATGACTTAAGAAGAGTATATAGTACGGGCTAACCATTTTTCGAAATGGTAATCTAAAAATAATCGGCGTTTGTGAAATCATTGAAAAAATTCCAGCATAATATGCGGAATTATGGAGCTCATGCACATAAACTTCCAGCATATTATGTTGGAACTCTAGCACAAGGAAAGTTCCAACATAATAGCGGAATTATGGAGCTCCTGCATATAAACTTCCAGCATGTTATGATGGAACTCTAGCACATTATAAAATTCCAGCGTATTATGCTGGAAGCTCGTATGTAAAAAATTCGAACTCCACAATATTATGCTGGAACATTTTCGGATTTTTAAGAGTATTTTTGTTTAGATTTTATATTTACATAAAAAGTGACTAAATTTCGATTACTTTTGAAATTGTGGTTATTTTTCAATTACTAGTTATAAATATGGCTATTTCTGGTTTTTATATTTGTCCAAATTCCATCAAAATAGAAAATTACTTAACTGCCTTATAATTAAAGTGCTTCACAAGTTCTGATCAATATTATTTAACCTATTTATTTATTTATATTATAGCAGATTCACATAAATTGAGGAGGAAGCACTTATTTATGATTTTTCAACTTATTTTTTGCTATGAATAATTTCTTCCATTTTTGATTAGTTTCGCTTTGCTTTAATGGAGACTCCACAACACCTAAATAAGTCCATATATACTAGAGTTGGACATTTTCTGCAATATTGATCCTACCAATTAGGCATCCTAGTAATTGCCTAATTGGTTTTATGTATTGTTGCGGAGCTTTAGATGACTGATAACTGTGAACAGAAGAAATACCACAATTGACATGAAGTAGGCACAGTAAAGCTTAAATTCAGAAGCATCAACTTTCCTCACTGAATGGCTCTTGTCTTTCTGGAGTTCCCAGCAATGAACCTTTGTCCAGTATGTGATATCTTAATGAGGCCGAAAGAGCTTTAATTATAAGTCCATACAGAGACGAGGTGATTTTAAGCTATTCAGATGGCAATCCTTCAATTTGATGCTTGAATAGTCACATCTAACTAACACTAGCTCTTCGCAATGCAATCTCAATTTTTTGCAAAACTTAGAATAGATGTCAAATGCTCAAAATAGAGATGTCATTGATGTTCACTTTCACACTGGTTCTCATTGCGCAGCTTACGCACATCTCAACTAATACGGCGGACTCCTGCCATCTTCCACCAATAGGGATACCAAACAACCTGCTCACCAAGTCTTTTATGACTTTCTCAAAAGCAATATCATCACAGATATGCGTTCCCATCCTTCCCTTGTTATCTAAGAGGAAAGATTATGGAGTTCAAAGAATCGGCCAAACAAAAAGAAAATGAATTAACAAGCGAAGATTATGCTCCATTCAAATAGAAAAAAACAATAGTTCTCAATCCGAATTCATTCCATCAAAACCTTAGTTCAACAGACACTTCTACACATAAGCTTACTTTCTGGATCCAAATACGAATTATCACACAGCAAAATTGTCCAGCCAAACACTTCTTTCTTTTACTTTTTCCTCATTTCTTTTTACTTTCTAGCCTAAGGTCCAAAAACTAATCCATAATTTGATGTGCCCTAAAGACCAAAACTAGAGCCCTTATCTTATTCTGCATCAGCCAAAAACAATATAGTGTACCAAACTGTTTGGAACTCGGACCATTGATGCTAATCATTCCACGCTGGGGTAGAATTTATCGCATGGGCTGCTGGTTGTAATGATTCTTCTCTTTCTTCTTTGCTGCAGCAAGCTTGGCACTCCTTGCAGCAGCCTCTATCGCGGCAGCTCTAGCAGCACCATCTGTCTCTTTACTGGATTTCTTTTTCTTTGCTGAAGCTACCCTTTTCAGCTTCTCCTTCACATCTACTGTTGATGCATCTTCTACTTGTTGAGCTCCTCCTCCAGTTTCCTCTGGACCAATAGTGGCATCTGAGCTGTTGGGCTGATCCTCTGATTCCTTCACCTCCTTGGATGCTTTATCCTTCTTTTTCTTCTTCTTTGCGTTTTTAGGCTCTGTAACCACCCCATTTTTCTTTTCCGCATCCTCACCTTGCTGAGACTCTTTCTTCTCGTTGGCAACATCTGCAATTATACAGAAACGTTTAGGAAAATCCACCTTCAGATACCCATAGAGTCAAACTAGTCATCTTAACCACAAGATGACCAACAAGTGCTAACCAAAAGAATAAAGAGTAGACATGTTTAAAGAGTCGATAAAATGTAAGGGAACAGATCAGTCTTAAGGACGTGAGATCAATTTCATCACCCAACTTCAATTATTAATTTACTAAAAATGGAACGGATAGACTGCTGCCGTCATCAGAATAGAGGCAAAAGAATTACCAGGTAACTCGTCTGGACCTTTCTCATTTTGTGCAACCCCAAAATCAGCTAAAAGTGCCTCCAATTCAGCAAGCTCTTTTTTCCTTCTCTCTTTCTTTGATAGCTGTCTCTCCGCTTCTTTAGGAGCTGACGGAGCTTCTATCTTTTGGTCCACTGGCTCAGCACGTTCTGGAACCTCAGGTTCGTGGTCATGGTCCTCCTCCACATCTTCATCTTCATCATCATCAAGAAGGTCTTCTTCGCTTTCTGTTTCCTGCAATTCAACCTTCTCAACTAAACGATCAGTATATGTGCTATACTGACTCAGAGATGTGTTCAAATTTTTATGGCTACCAAATATTGCAATATCTTGTGTGCTTATTTACTTCCTTTTCCTTCTCTATTCTCTTTCTATCCCTCATGAAAGAGGAAGGGATTCATCGCTAATAATTGGAGAACAAATCAACACGGAAAACAAACATATGAGTAAGGCATCAACAGAACATTAAATCCTTAGGCAATATGAACACACCTAAAGAGTATATTACATGCAGGGAACAAATTATTAACTTGTGAATCTCCTGTGCTAAAAAAGAACGGAAAATCCTAGTTATTTTTGCAGCCATAAGCGCCAAAAATTCCAATTTTAAAGAGACAAATTTCTTGGGACCTAAAATCACATAAGGAAGTCGCCTGAAAAGACCAACAATCAATAAATATGGACTTAACTAAAACGGAATACAATGGAAACAATCATCCGTATATGCATATCAACTAGCTGGAACTCCGAATTAAGGCCTAGTTGTTATTGTTTCACATACATTATGTCTGGCTTTTGCAAGGAGTTTCTCAGCTTGGTCAGAAAATAGCATGTTAGTGTAGATATAAATGTGAGATAAAACTTCTATTTTAGAGAACAAGAAGACATATTATTTCCTATTGAAATTGACTGGGTCTGAATAGAGCAAACCGGGTAGGTGGGGTGGGGTGGGGGTGGGGGCTAGCTTGGAGAAAGGGGGTTCAATTGAATCCACTCTGCTAAAATATTATACTGCAAAAATAGGGTACGCTATTGAATCCCCTAGACATTAGGAAAATTTCTAGTAAAAGGGCAAAGGGGGTTCAAAAGTGCTTTAGGTTTCAAATAGAAGTAACATTTCTGAATCCCCTTGTATAAAATCCTCGCTCCGCCAATGGAGCACACCCCAACTAGTTCAGGATTGAAGCATAGTAGAGTATTAATTCTGCTTTGATAAGTAAAACCTAGTTCATAATTAATTAATTAATTATCTTTGCTTGTTTCATCGACTTCCCACATATAATCATGAATCATCGAACTTCTAAATAAATAGCATACTATTATCAAAAAGGTAAAAATAAAATCTATCACACTCATATCCATGAAATAAAATTCACAACATTTCCGAATCCAAAGTACATAACACAGCATAAAAAAGCAGGCATAAAAGGGCAATTACCTCAACAGGTTCAGGCTTCTTTTCAGACTCATTCGAACCCAAAAAAGACTGAAGAGGAGCAGTAGTAGCATAGTAATCATCATCATCCTCGTCATCAACATCAGCCCAAGATTTCACAGTCAACGGCGCTGGAGCCCACAAAACTTCCGGCTCCTGTTCTTTCTTCGATGACGAACCTTTACTACTCTTAGATTCTTTATCAGAAGACTTCTTCTTCTTCCTTAAACTATCAAGCGCCGCAAATACATTCGAATTACCCCCCATCATTTCTACCTACTTTTTTAAATAAACCCAATTTTCCCAATTTAAATTGGGATTTCGTTCTTCTTCTTCTTCCTCTAAAAAATGATAGAAAAAAGGGCAAAACAAATAAACCCTAAGGTTTGTACTTCAGCTTTACAAATGGAGAATGATGGATTTAGTTAAGATAAAATTTTTAGGGTTTTGGAGAAGCTATTGATGGAGAAATGGGGTTCATTAGTAGATAACGGGATGAGAGAGGAGAAGAAAGAGAAGTTTATATACTTGTGGTTTATTACAATTGCTGCATTACATTTTATGTTTTTAGTAGACAGACACGGATTTTATGTATAATATCAATTTTGTACCCTGATAGTTTAACTAATTGTAGTTGTAACCTCTATACAATGTAACTTATATTCCAGAACTATTTTGTTAGTTTAGTCACAAACTCACAGAAAAGATTGCAGTGGCAAAATATATGCAATTTATTTTCATTTGTCTAAGTTTTGATCGGCATAATAATCTGTATTTGTACTGATATAAGGTAGCAATATTCGCTACTCGATAAAATAATTAAGATATGCACAAGCAGATTCGGATACTATCATCAACTAAAATAATTGTCCTTTAGGTAGTATAATAGGTGATAATTGCATGCAAAATGGATATATACGATACGAAACTCATTATCATCTCGTAAAGTCATTAACATTAATATGTTATGCAAAAACATTTACTTATTATATAAAGTAATCCCAAAATTACATACTTAAAACACCAACTCGACCTTTTAATTTTTATTTTATTCCTTATAAATGGCATAATTCAAATTCTTGCTTTGCGCACCATTCACTTCAAAGACATATATATTACAAGCTCGTGAAAAACATATCATTTTAGAGTATTTTGACAAAATTACCTTGTATAATTACAGCTTGTTTGGATGGTTGTTACGTATCGTTTCATAATGTATCATATCGTACTGTATTGTATTGTATTGTACTGTATCGTTTGATAAATACAATGTTTGGATAGATTGTGTCGTTTGCCGTCGTTTCATGATATCACGCACCAACAGTATGAAGAATAAACTTGCAATATTATAAAGAAAAATTATGATACAGGGTAAAATTATTATATAAAAAAGTAGAGTAAATGATAAAATAAAATTATTTAATAATAATGAAGGGTGAGGTTGAGAGAAAAAGACAAGGTAACGACGCGACCACACCAAATCAGCCGTTACATAAAGTGGCACATTTCGTCGTTATGTAACGACAGATTTAACGATACGATACAATAAAATTTAAGTAACAATCAAAACAAACATTGTATTTAAAGAAACAATACGATACAACACAATGGGTAACAACCATCCAAACAAGCTGTTAGAAAAAGAAGGAAATTTGAATTTGATCAAGCGGTGGACTGGTTATAAGGCCATTTAGAAACCAGAGTAAACTTATGAGGATCTTTTAGAATAATAGAAGTCTCTAAGGACCAACACCAAAAAATGCATTTTGGGGACTATTTATCGATTTACTTAAATTTGCGGATTTTTCGTATTGCTTACCATATATCACAAATAGAATGTTAACTCCAACACAAACATGACTGGTTGTCTGATTCTACGGACTAAACTTCATCAATTACAACTAATACATAATTATAAGTTAATAACTTATAACATGAAAAGTTCACTTTGAACTAATATACATGTATACTTTTTAGTGATAGGTCATTAATTTTATAATAATAAATTAATAATCATATCCAGATATCTAAAGTCAATTTATAACATTATTGATACAACACAAACAATATTATATCATTCCGTCACCAAAGATGATGTTTTATTACGCTGCTGGTTTTTAACGTAACTATTCTTCCGCGATTTCATCTAGCTTTTTTATGTTTATGCTAATGGTAAAAAAGAAGCAGCAAAGAACAGTTTTAGGCACTAGCAATGTGACGACCCAATCCTCCCTACGTCTGATGTCGTGACGGCACCTATTCTCTACGATATATTAGCCTAACATTTTGCGGAAAACCAAAATTTGAAAGCAAAACTTTAACAACCAACAGCAATAGATATTTAAATAACTGACAGAAATGCCGCTCGGCATATATAATAACCAACTCTCGTACTATACACAAAATTCTCCCAAGACCCGAACACCGTAAGTCACAGCCTTCTAAGATTTATCTACTGTTCTTTACATCATTTAGGAGAAATAAAAGAGGAGCAACATAAGAAGGGATAGAAGGGGACTCCGAGGTCTGCGGACACGGCAGATGTACCTTGAAGTCTCTGGAACAACAACAGATATGCAACTAATGACGAGGTTGGTAGGAGGTAACTGGATCTGCACACGAAAACATGTGCAGAAGTGTAGCATGAGTACACCACAACGGTACCCAGTAAGTGTCAAGCCTAACCTCGGTCGATGTTAGATCAGAGCCCTATATATATATATATATATATATATATATATATATATATATATATATATATATATATATATATATATATATATATATATAACAAAATTATCGCGGTAATATAAAAGACTGAAATTTAACCAGAATGAAATCACAAAAGGATAACAGTACAGTACACAGAAATAGCAACAGGGGATCTCCCGAGATACCGTCTCGTAGTCCCAAACGTAAATATGCAGGGGATCTCCCGGAATACCGTTCTGTAGTCCCAAAGTAAATGTGCAGGGGGATCTCCTGGAATACCATCCCGTAGTCCCAAAGTAAATATGCAGGGGGATCTCCAGGAATACCGTTCCGTAGTCCCAAAGTAAATACACAGCTCAACCAATAAAAATAACAGCTACAACACGAAATCCTACGGTTTAGACTAAGTACAAGTCAAGGAAGAAGCAGGAAATCCACTAAGCATGCTGCATAGAGTTAAGATAAGCAGTTAAGACACGTAGGCATGCTATTCTAGGCTAAAAACATGATAATTACACATGCTAGTATAACTCAATTAAAGTGAAACAGATATTTACTCAGTGAAAAATGGAGTTTTACAATAAATAGCCCGTGTGCGCACTCGTCACTTCACGTACATGGCGCTCACATATCACAACACTACCAAATCCTGAGGGGAGTTCCCCCACACAAGGTTAGGCAAGCCACTTACCTCGAACCAAGCTCAATCTCGCTGACAACATGAATATCCGACTCCGGATGGCCCAAATCCCAAAGTTCTCTCTGAAAAATCCTTGATTTATCGCCTTAATCCGAGCTCTCGAAGTCCCAAAATTGAAAATGAGAATAAACCCTCAACTTGGCCATTTTTCTGCCAGTGATCTCGCTTCGCGAGTGGTCCACCGCATCTGCGGTCCCTCACCTGCGGAAAGACCATCCAGGTGCAGATATCACTTAAGTCCACAAAAGTCGCTTCTGTGATCAAGGGTCGCACCTGCGCGTCCACTTCTGCGATCTATCCTCCGCTCCTGCAAATTCGCTTCTGCGGAACTCTCATCGCACTTGCGGTCCTAGATGGGCAGGCCCAAACTCGCTTATGCGGCTCCAAGGCTGCTTCTGCGGTGTCGCACCTGCGGCCCAGAGTGCGCAGGTGCGATTACACCAGGTGCAACAAACTTCAGTCAATCCAAGACAACTCTGAATGATCCGTTAAGCATCTGAAACTCACCCGAAACCCCCGGGACCTCAACCAAACATACCAACCAGTTCTAAACCACCATACGAACTTAGTCGAGCCCTCAAATCACATCAAACAATGCTAAAATCACGAATCACCCTCCAACTCAAACTTAAATAACTTGAAACTTCAAATTTCTACAACTGATGCCGAAACCTTTCAAACCACGTCCGATTGACCCCAAATTTTGCACACAAATCATATTCAACATTATGGACCTACTACAACTTTTGGAATCGAAATCCGACCCCGATATCAAAAAGTCCACTACCGATCAAAATCTCCAAAAAATTGACTTTCGCCATTTCAAGTGTAAATCAGCTACAGACCTCCAAAACACAATTCGAATACGCCCCTAAGTCCAAAATCACCCAACGGAGCTAACGGGGCCACGTAACTCCATTCTGGAGTCGTTTTCACACAATTCCAACTACGGTCAAAATCCTAAGACTTAAGTTTTCGTTTTAGGGACTAAGTGTCCCAAAACACTCCGAAACAAAAAACAAAACCTCCCGGCAAGTCACATAAGCAGAAAAAGATACGGGGGAAGCAGTTAATAGAGGATCGAGGCTATTACTCTTAAAACGACCAGCCGGGTCGTTACAAACAATAGTAATAGCTATTCCTTTTTTTTTTAATCTAGAAAGATAGGCACATAGTGGTTCATCAGAATATTCTTGGTTAGAAAATTACATTATATATACAAGGTCAAAATTAAATACACATATAGTATATTGAATCTCTTTGATACAAATCAAAAGCTCTTGTATGTTACTTCTTTATATTTTAAATTCGATCGAATATGATCTTTCACAAGGTAAAGTTAAAGTTTGCGTACATATTTTCTTCTCCGACCCTCATTATGTGAGATTATATTGTGTATATTATTGTTTATTGTTTCTATAGTGAAAAATCTGACCCGCCACTGCAAAAACATGTGCTATTGTTTCTATTTTGAGAAGAGATAAATCAACGGATCTTTCCAATTCTTTGTAAAGCTTGCGGAGAGCAATAATTACATATCATCAAAAGTACAAATCTATTATTCAAATCGTGTATAAGCTGTAATAAAGCTTCTTGAAAGTAGTATGACCAGGACTAGACTGTTGGTGAAGTTGACATGCTCTACTCTAGACTGTCTAAAAAGGACTAAAAATAATCAATATCAAGGATAAGGATGAGGAGTCCGGAACCTAAATATTTATTTTTGGACTCAAAATACATTAATAAGTTAAAAAAAATACATATCTATATATAGCGTATAAATAGAAGACGCTATAGCTTAACGGTAACTTTTTTCGTTAGGATATAGCGTCTTCTATTTAAACGCTATACTGACAGGCGATTTGACTGCCACATATAGCGTATGAAATGAAAACGCTATACATATGGCGTCCAAAAAAAACGCTATACCTTAAATTAAATACCCCCTTCGTCTTCTTCCCCGACCATTCTCCTTTTCCCCATTTTTTTTATCTTTCTGCTTCTGGTCCCCCCCTCCCCCCCCTGCCCGTGATTTAAAAAAAAAATTGTGGGCCCCTCCCGTTACACAAAAGGTGAAGAACGTAGGTCCCACATCGTATTGGAG